TGTGCAGCCTGCAGCAGGGCACCGGCAGAGGCCCTGAGGGCTTCCCGCCTCCCCTCCCCTCCTCACCTGGGCCTTGGTTTCCTTCACGTCCATCCAGTACTTGTGCACCTTCACAATATTGGGGTGGTCAACAATCACCAGCTGCTCAAACATGGTCTTGATCTTCTCCTGTCCGATTGGGAAGAGGCAAAGGGCGCGTCACCTGAGACTCAAAGCGGAACGAGCTTGCCTCTCCTATCATCCCACAGATTCCTGGCAGCCCTCGTGAAGTCCCACCCCCCCCGGGTTTGTGGGGAAACAGGCCCCGTGCAGAGCGCCTCACCTCATGCGCCCTGAAGGCCTTCTTGTCTGTGAACTGCAGCTCGTTCCAGACGACCTCCACGCCCTCCTCCGTGTCCATGGCCAGGAAGGTGCTCTGCAGTCCCGGCAGGTTGCCCTGGTTCACCTGTTGGGGGAGGGGGTCGAGAGAGCGCCGCAGGGCGTGAGACGGAGGGCCGGGCGAGGCATGGAGGGGGACGGGATGGGGCAGGACAGGACAGGGGGGCAGAAGGCACAGGGCCCTGCCCGAAAGGGGCAGCTGCACCCTCACGGCCCACTGTACCCATTGCGCCTTTAAAAACAAACAGACAAACAAACAACAAAGGAAACCATCAAACCCACGGGGGGGGGCCCTGGGTGTTCCTGAGAGTGCTCTGAGCAGCCCTTTGTTGAAGGGGAGGGAGCAGCGCAGGGTGGGGTGGGGAGGGCCTTCTCCCTCCTGTCTTGTTCATGGGTTTCCTCTGCTGCCTCCCATGGGAAAGAGGAGAGGTTGGGCCAGAGAGGTATCCCCCCCCCGCCGGAGCCGTTCTTTCCAACCCCCTCCCTTTAGAGGTTCCCTCAGACCTAGGGGCCCGTGAAACCTCCCCGTATCGCCCTCGGGACACGAAGGGACGGCACAGAAGAGCAGAGACCCCTGGGACCGTGGCCAGAGGACCTGGAGCCTCGCCGTCGGCCGGCTGCGCTGGCCCTTTGGGTCTCCACTGGCCCCAGCCCCACGAGCTGGCCGGAGGGGGCAAGTGGGGAGAGAGCGCCTGTAGGGAGGCAGGACCGTTCCCTGTGCCCCACAGAACCTGCTGCTTGCCTCCCTCCCTCCCTGCCTGCCTGCCCCACCCGGGCACCCTCCTGGCTCGGGGATGATCAAGGCAGAGGCAGGAGTTCATGACCAGGGGAAGAGACGGAGCCGGTCTGGCAGGGCCGCTTCACCGCCGGGTTCCTGTCGCAGGAAACAAAGCACCTCCATTGTCCTCACACACAAACCCCCGTCTCAGGCGGGGCAGAGAAGGGACGCCCAGGCAGGCAGCCAGGCTGGCTTTTTAATCACAGCCCCCGCCCGATGGGCACCAAGGAGCGTGGTGGCCAGACCCTCCCCACCTCCACCCCCCAAACAGCAGCCACTGTCGCCCTGAGCCAGCTCAGGGGCCGCTCCCCCCCTCTGTGCGGGGACCCTCGTCCATAGATCCTGGAGACACTGCCAGCGCAGGGAAGGGGCGAGCCCCCCCCCAAAGCTCCATAGCTCTGTGGAGTGCCAATACCAGGCCAAGGTGGCACTCATCACAGTCTTCTCAAGAACACGGTGCCAAGAGGAGCCATCCCACTGGGGGCACAGAGGCAGGCAAGGGGCACCCCCGGCTTCCGAAGGGTCAGGCAGAAGCATTTCTGAGTTCCCGATGGCCCCAGAAACGCATGTCGTGGGCTGCAAACCAAGGGCCCCTGGAGACTAGGGGCCATTCCAGAGGGCTGCTTTTGGTGGGGCCAAGTTGCAGAAATGGCCCGTGCATTAGGAGTTATCCTTGTGGCGCCTTTTATTAAGCAAAGCCAGGGCAGAATACCCGGAGGCAGAAGCAATGGTGGTGTGTTTACTCTCCCTTGCAAAATAGAGACAAATCTGGAAACCTGTTTCATCGCTCCAGAAAAGCAACAAAAGCAGTGGGGTTGGTTTGCTGGGGNGGGGGGGAAGAAGAGGGTGTTACGCCTCTCGTGCCAGTCTCTTGCTGTGGCCCCAGAGCAGCCTGGGAAGGGCAGCCCAGGACATCGGTGGGCGAGGCAAGCCGAGGGAGTGGAAAACAACGCAGGTGACCCGCGTGCCAGGCCAGGGAGGCTCACAGCCAAGCGACGCGGCTCCACGGAAGAACCTCCGAGCCAAGAGATTGAGTGGGGAGTTGCCCGGCCCGGAGGAGCTTTGCCGTCTCCCTTGGAGCAGCGAGGGAAGAGGAAGGAGCCGAGCAAGGACCGGCCCACGTCCCGAAACAAAGTCTCCCTGGAGGAGAAAATGTGGCCTGGGGGGGGGGGGGAAGGGCCCAGATTTCAAGGGGGGGGGAAAGCAAACCTGGATGTTCGGGGGGGGAGAGGAAGAGAGGCAGCAGCCCCCAGATATTGTGGGAGGCAATCCCAGCCTGAGGAGTTGCGAGGAGGTGGGCACTGCCCGCCTTTGAACCACAGAGAGGCCGTGGCTAGAGCGAAGGTCTCAGCAGGGCAGAGCCACGGGTGAGGGGGCAAGGGGAGCAAGGCCCCACGTTTGCCGTGCGATCTGGAGCCCGAAACTGGATGGACCCTCAGGTTGGGGAAAGGCGGCCTGCAGGCTCCTTAGAGGCCCCTCCAAGGGCAGAGTTCATGGAGGCCAGGGGGCTTCACAGAGGCAGGGGGTGGGCTCACCCAGCCAGCCAGGGCCACCCCGGACCGGGCAGCCAAGCCAAAACGTTCCTGACCAATGTGGGAGTAAAGCACAGCCCCCCCTCCCACCTGGGGAGTGCCTTAGAAGGCAGTGACCCTCTCGGCAAATGACACACACACACACACACACACACCCTGTCTCCTGAGGGTCTGCCTCCTTCCCGCTTGAAAGCCAGGTCCAGAAGTCAGGGCAGATGCCCCACAACCATCTTGGCCCACAAGAGCCGACACCAGGGACCCTTGGCAGCTGCCCCCGCCTCGCCCGCTGCCCAAAGGAGTGAGCCACACCGCAGGGCCGCCTGTGCCTCCCCCCCCCCCCCCCC